ACAGCTCAGTGCTCCGACCACGTGTGCACAGCGGTGCAGAATGCATCGATCTAAGAACAGATAGTGATCAGCCCGGGCCAGATGGATCGCTCCCTCACTCACTCTCTGTCTCTCTCTCTCTCTCACTCTCTCTCTCTCTCTCTCTCTCTCTCTGTCTCTCTCTCTCTGCTGTCCTGGAGTCTATTGGCCCAGGTGGCAGAAGCCTGTCCACCCCATTAAATATGCGCTTCGGACGGGGCTTGTTTCTGTATTTTCTGGCCGGGTCCCTGCCCATTTGTTGCAAACCCTGAGCCATTTTGCCGCCACGCACTCCGCGTGGCGTTCCAAAGGGCTGCTGCTTTGGGCTGCAAAGGGGTGCCATGCGCACACGAGGGATCAGCAAGGCGGGGCTTGTTGATTTGTTGCTTATTCTCGGAAACCCAGACGTAGAGCAAGTCTTTTATTGAAGGGTGGTTGTAGGAAATGCAGTGAGAACGGCCTGGTGCCTGGGCTTGATCTCGGGGTGCAGTGAGCCCCAGTCAGTTTCGAGGCACCCGCGTGTCTTGCTCAAGCTTTTAGCTGAGCCCCGTGGCCGCGATGGGGCCCAGCTGTCATGCTTGGCATTGATCACCCATCTTGGAGTTGCAGCCTTTCATAGATCCTGAGGTTGAGGGTTGGCGATGCTACGAAGCGCGCGAGTGTCTTGCAATGTGGAAAGGGGAGGGATACGGGTAGAGAAGACACCTGCAAGCTAGATAGGGGCTCAGAAGTCCCAATCCGCTGTGGTGTGTGGGTGTGTCAACTCTACCAAAGCTCGCGGCAGGGCCAAGAAGGATGCCAAGGCTGACTCTGCCCGGAGGGTGTGCTTGACGTGTGCAGCGGGGAATGAACTGCACATCCGAGTGCTGAACAAGTTTAAACAGGGATGCAACTGGGGGGAGCCTATGCCAAACCCCTCTATCCTGCGCGCATGACCCGGTTGCATGTGAGACTGCAAATTCAGCCATACGGATTGTCGCCTAACAGGGAAGCTCCAGTTGGATTGGGCAGCATAGGAGAGCAAGCTATGTCGCTGGCCAAATCTGACATGGACACATACACAAAGCACTTGACACACGAATCGACTCTATTACAGGCAATGACGAGTATAGCCGGTGGTTGATTGAATCTGGCTGTGAGAAAAGCTGTACAAGGTATAGTGTAGGCTGTGGGTGTTGGATTGATATCTTCAGGTGTTGGCGTGCTTTTGCAGTTGCAGCCTCGCCCAATTGATGGTTATTTCGTATGCAAATTGCGTGCATGTGATCAGGGCGGCTTACGTACCAGGAGCAATTGACGCAGATTGTTCCTTGGAGCTGAACCGTTTACACGCGCAATGATTCGTTCTGAACAGAGCCGCACTGCAGATAGTGATTGAGGGAAGCTCTGGGGGGCGCTTGCCGCTGGATTTGGTTGGAGCCAGGCGCGCGGCGCGGAGAAGACTCGAAAGGAGCAGGCTGCGGGCTGGTGTTTGCGAGCGAAGATGCTGGTGGCTAGAGCAGTTTTGGTGCCTACACAGAACAACATGAGGGGATAGCGGAAACCGGCACCCCGGACAGGCAGATGATGATGAGGAGGTCAGGAGCTTGTTCAAGCTACACAGTTGTATGGCGGGCGTGTTTTGCTCTGTCCTTTGGCGCTCTCACGTGCTCACGTTTGATTCTGAACTGGGCATGGTGCAAGCAGTGAAATCGGCAGCCGAGGACCCTCAGCACCCTTTTCACACTTTGGTGAAGGTTTTTTTGATTTGTCCTTCCCACGCCTTCGACGCATACTGAGGACGATGGTGGCAGCCCAAGAGTGGCGCACGAGAGACACTGAGGGGACTGATTTTGGAGATTCTGGCCCATGCTCGCTGAGACTTAAACATTTTCAATGTGAGGCGGATGCGCTTTGCATTTCGCCACGGTGTCTCATCCTCAGGTCCTCCACGGTCCGGCAAAGCAGCTGCGAAAAAGAAGGCCGGCAAGGGGACGCCCGGCTGAATGCCCAGCATAGCCTGCAACCCAGGGCAAGAGTGTGGATGCCTTTGAGCAGATGGAGCAAGAGAGGCGGGCTCTCGGACAGCAATGGCAAAACATGCATTTGCTGTTTTGATGCTCCAGCCTTCCAGCAACAGATTCGACATCATGTCTAAGCTCCAGAGATGCGTTGTTTGGGTAGATTGGAAGCACTACCTTGATTCACCCGTTCTTTCTGTTGAGTACCAACTATCGTTGCAGCAAACTGATGCAGGTTGACCCCTTCTCCTTTTTCCGGGTGGGCCAGGGAGGCCCAAAGTAGCTTGTGCAGGCAGCGCGAGTCTCGCCAGAGAATAGCGGGTGCCCAAGAGCCGGCTACAGACAGAAGTGACAAGCCGTAAATCCTCAGTTGTGCGCAGAGACCACCTAGATATGATTCACACCCGCTGTCCTGCAATAATTCATCAAAGCACTCCCCTTGGTGGATGGTGTCAAATGGACTTGTAAACCTCCGAAACACCCGCGCATATATAGGACTTACATTGGACCGCCTCTGTTGGTCCGGACTGAGGTAGAGCGCTTCCTCCGGCTCATGCTGGTGGGTTTCGTGCTGGATGCCCTCAAGGGCAGCGAGAAGGATAGCAAGGATGGCAAGGATGGCAAGGAGGAGAAGAAGAAGAAAGGCACAAAGCAACCAGCGGTTTGGATGGGACTGCGATTCGCGTTTTGAACTTTTTGCATCTTTGGCCTTTGTGCACAGGTCCCAACAGCGGCAAAGGTCACAGCTCTGGGTGCATGCCTTGGATATGTCTCAACTTTGACACATTTGGGTTCATGCTGCCACGACATTTGTGCTCGAATGTATATGCCACTATGCCATTTTGCCGTGCCACCAAGTTGCTGAACAACTGAATGTCAGCATGGCGCATGTGTGCTAGCTTGGAAGACACTTGGTGTTGGCTCACCATGCCATCATGCTGAAAATAATTCTCCGGGTTTGTCATGTCTTGATCAGGTCGCCTAGGTTTTGCAACTCTGGAGCTGCGGTGCCAAACACTCCACCATGTGCACTTGGGCTGGTTTGCTTCACTTTTTGGCAACCATGAGTTGCTTTAGCGGTGCTTGATGTTTCAGGCTGCATTGGGACAACTTCATGGGATAGGTTTTGGCCAGCGCAAGGCAAGCAGCAAATGAGGGGACGTATCGAACACCATTGTGCCATCAATGTTCCGTCTCTGGCTTTAAACTCTTTTGCTTGTATTTATTTTATTTTCCGGAGTTTTGCAGTATGTTTTTGCTGCAGGCAAGGCCTTGCAGCCTTTCGCGATTTTCTGAATCGAATCCAGCGCCGAGGTTGTGCACAGCGTTCCCACATTTGCCCTGTTCCAATGTGTCCTGAATTTGTTGCATAGACTCGAGTGTCACCCGGTATTTTGGAATGACGTTGTGATTTAGAGACCCCAGCATTTTACAGATCTGTGGGTGTGACAAGGTCAGATGCTTTCAGTGTGAAGTCTGTCAAGGAGAAGGCCACACCGGGTTTGCTCGTGTGAACGCAGAAGCTTTGCTTTTACGGAGGACAAAGGAACAGGGGTCTGACTAACGACCATGTGCCAGAGCTTGCTCGCTCGTGCGAGCTCTGGAGGCTGGTCAGGATTCACAGGGAGAACAATTGATGTTCGGGCAGGGTCTTAGAGCTCCGGCGGTTGCTGAAATGGGTACGGGTCAAAATTAAACCAGCGGACCGCTGGTCTTAGTTCTTGGTTCCATTTTCCAGGGTTCCATTTTGGGGTTACCCTATTTTTTGACCCGCAGCCAACGGGTGAAGCGGTTCTGCTCGTCGCGTCCACGTGCCACACCTGGCACGGGAAGGGCGCGCGAGGTGAACACCTACGGGGGCCCCCTGGTGATGGTGGCCTTCATTGTGGCCATGTGCTGCTGGCGGATTTTTCAATTTGGCTATGGGTCAAAATTGGACCCGGGGACAGGTTTTAGTCCTTGGTGCCATTACCCCAGGGTTCCATTTTGGGCCTTTTGGGTACCCATTCTTGACCCACAGCCATTTCTTTTGCGTTTCGAATCAGAGTTGATCGGATCCCGAATGGCAACGGAGCGTAGCATGTTAATTAGTTTCCATTGAGCATGCACTGGAAAGCATGTTGATGCACAACCACATACATACATCACATCTGGTTGAGAAAGTAGGCATGTGTCAAGCTCGTAACTTTTGTTTGCCCTGTGCGTTGGTGGACCGTCTCGGGCCACCTCGGACTCGAACCAGGCGGCAGCCCCAAACATGACCGGAAAACATGGGCGTTCGAATCGTCCCACAGCGGCGTAGGCTGGCAATCCGAGCTGCCGAGGAAGGCGCGAGCAGATCATGAAACGATTGCTTACTGGACATGTTCAGTTAGGTCCCGCGTTTTGACATGTACCAAGACATGTCACATGAAGCAAGCAAGCAAGATTGTGAGCCATTGAGACTGTATGCTATTGTCCGCGCATGCTTAAATGTGAAATTATTTCTTGCTGAAGCTATTAGGATTGGCCACCAAGACACTGCAGTCCAAGACACCCTGAGCTTGCAGAGTTCAAGGGGCTCTCTTATCCAGACCTCACACGAGCATGCTGTAAGACAAGTTCGGGCCAGCAGCCAGCAGGTTTGGCTTTGTGAGACTTGGGAAGGCTTCCATCCTGCTGACCAAGATGAACATGGGGTGGCGTGCTTACAGAGTCGAACCACTTGTCCCGCATGGCTGAACGCATGGCGATGTGCTGCCTACACAAAAGAAGTGGCTTGCTTGCAGTTCAACTTCTACGAAGTGATGGGCTTGACCAGAGGCTGCGGTTGGCATTGGTTCATTCTGCCCTGTGTGGAATCGGGCAGCATGTCGCAGAATTATGCTACTTCTTTTGGATGGGTTAGCAACAAAACCCTAAGGAAGGCAAGTGGAGGTCCCTGAAGCAAGAGCTGTTTTCATGCAAGCGCCTTAGAGGAAAGCCGGAACAGGTGTTGATCAGATGGAGATCCGGAAGGCCTACAAGGCTGGTGACTGTGCAACATCCTGGAAGGCAAACTTTCACGGATTTGCAGGCGCTGGCGCTGAAATTTCACCCGGACAAAAACCCGGACTGCGCAGAATGCCGGGCTCCTCAGGGTTGTCGTTTCGGCGCCATGCCGTTCTCAATCGGCAGGTTTGGATTAACAAATCAGCGATGCTTGAAAACACTTTGCGTAGAATTGGCAGTCTGGACAAACTCGATGCCCGGATCTTCAGGTGCGGAAAAGTTCGGCAAGATCTCCAAAGCATACGCGGGGACCTTGACTCCATATAGCGAAGATGCACAGTCACAAGGAGGTGTCTTGTCTGGAGTCCCATTTTCTCCAACCAAATGCTTCCCGCCCCCATTCACTCCCCGTGTCCTTGCATGTGGAGCTGCCACGGTCACCAAGCAGAAAGGATGTTTGGCGTTTCTGTCATCCAAGGACACCCTTTCCAACCCGGAGGCCCGAAAGGTGATCCGCACCGCTTGCGCTTTCTTTTTTTGTTTGCGATAATCCCGCAATCGATGCCTTTGGGTAGGAACCCGAGTCACTTCCTGCCGTGCTCTGCAGTTATCAGAAAGGGGCACATTTGACAACATTGGGCCATGTGCATCATGCTGGCTTCGCTGCTCACAGGTTGTCGGGACATGACTTGTGAACGGGGCTTGCCTGCCCTGCTCGTAACCCCACACAGAAAAGGAACAGCAAACAGTAGCGGTGAATGCAAAGGAAACTTCGTTGCATGGGTCTCGACAGCGTTTTCCTGTACGAACCGAATGCTTGTTTACCTGGTATCCTTACAGCTGTCCAGGATGGATGAGGCAACTAAACCCTGGAAACAAGCTACGCCACTCGAGTATTTCAGAGGAAACCTCCACCCGCCATGGCATAAGCCATTGGTGCCCATGCTGTGGTGGGCCACTCTGGTGCGATGACTGCAGGGGACGAGGCGTGAGCCTTAGAATACGACCGGAACTGACACTGCCATGGTCTGCCAATGCGTGCTTGCTTCCCATCTTCCATGGAGGAGTCCGATTTGCAGTCCAGCTTGTCTGACGCCCCGCCGGATTGGAACTCTGATGACGAGCCACCGGAGGACCGGAAGGGGGATGAAAATTGCTGCAGCCGAGATGGAGCTGTGCCTCGGCAAGTTGAGCTGAAAATGCTGCATTCGCTGCTTGCGTCATGTCTTTTTTTTGGCGCCATGATGACCTAGGTAAGAAAAGTCATCCAGAAGGTTGGGAAGGGGCTGGAGCGACCTGGTCAAAACGACATTGTCACGCTTCGCTTCTCCACCCTTCAGCTGGACGGCTCTTCTGAAAGACCCAGCTTTGACGGCACAGTGGAGATGCTCAGCTGTTCTTGTGCTTTCATTGCCGCTATACATACCGTGACTCTGCAAAATGATACGTTTCCAGCTTTGATGCACAAAAGGGGAAGTTGTATTTAGACGGCAAGGTGGAACCTGCACTCGTATCAAACACGTCGCCGCGAGATCAGGATGGGTGAAGGAAGATTACCCCTCGCAGTGGAGTTTGCTCTGAAGAACATGCGCGTGGGTGAGGCCTGTACTGGCGGTGCTGCGTGTTTTGGCGCACGCTAGCTGCTTGCTTCTTTCGTATGACATCGGACGAGTTGGCAGGCTTCAGAGGTGCGTGCGCCTGCCGCCTACGCTGCCTTTGTGTCCCCCTTGTGTGGCCGCAGCTTGCGCACGCAGCCCGGGGTGCTGCCAAAGACGGGCAAGGCGCATCACTACTGGTAGAATCATGGGCATGTTTCTTTCGTCTTGCTTATCGTGAGGGGTTGTCGGAACAATCCTTTGCCAGCCACAAATTGAGTCACATTCCCCTCTTAGAACAAGCAAAGGGATCACCTTCAGCCTGCGGTTTTCAGAGGATTGATGGCCCTTGTGTCAAACCTAACACGGGGAACCATTTGTCGGAAGGTTTTGAAAGGGAAGCCAACAAGAAGCTGCCTCAAATGGCAGACCTTCGAAGAAATCCCGAGTGCTTGTTTCTCGAAGCAACATTTTGCCCCCCACAGCTTCTCAATGCTGTTTCTGCCGGATTTTGCATCTTTTTGGCCAACTTTCCATGCGCAAGCGCTTGCATTCACCAGCGCCATCTTTGTGGAAACTGAGAAACTGTCCCAAGCTTGCTAGAGCCAGGAGCTTCTGAGGAGTCAAGCTCGTGAACGCATGAAGATACCTCCAAACAGCTTTTCCTGGGGTTCTCTTGTACAATTTCTTATTTGGCTGTGGGTCAAAACCAGTGGTACCATTTTGGGGTAGGTGCAGGGGGTACGGGATTTTGACCCATGGCCATCTTGACCTGTATTCAATATTTCGTTTGGTGCAGGTGAAGAGGCGGCACCGCTTCTTGCCGGCAGCCCCACGAGAGCTCACTGTGCAGGCAAAGAAGGACTGACTGCTTTTCTGGGACGAAAACGTTTGAGCTGTTGATGTGGGCCCTTTTGGATGGTTTTTCAAGGGAAACTGGGGGTGCACCTTCTCTCAACCCTTGCACACCCCAAGAATATGGTAACGTGTCAAAAGCAGAAAGGGCAACGGATTCGTTTTGGTTTGCACATCGATCGCAAAATCATCTTATTTGATCACTCTCGCCAGCTTTGACCTTTTCTGCCTTTGGAATAAAGCAAGTTGAATTCGCCCTGCCAACGAGTCGGACATTGGAAATTGGGATGGATGATATCACATGGATTCGATTTGAGGATGCGGTGCCATTCCTTGTCCAGCATTTGCGCAGCTTGCACTGTTGAATCTGCCGCAAACCATACAGCGCTTAGCGTTGGGCCAGGCTTGCAAGGCATTCGACATTCCATACTTAGAATGAGCCATGCCCCACCCTCCCCCATGCCCCACCCTCCCCATGCCCCACCCACCAAGGTTCCACCCCCCCCCCCCCCCGCCAAAGAAAAAAAAGGAAGGAAAAAACACACCCTTGCCGGCCCAAAAATAAAATAACATGACAACAAACACACACACACACACAGAGAGACTCACGTGCAGGACCTCACAGCCCACCAGGTGGCCCAAGCAGCAGCTCAGGCCACGCCAGCGGAGGCAGAGGCGGAGGGCGCCAAGTCGGCCTCGCCGCCGATGTTCAAAGCCCGGGTGGAGCTGCTGGGGTTGGAGACCGTTCTGGCACTCACGGAGGACTCGCTGGGCTTGCATTTGAAAAGAAGGAACATGGAAAAGTAGAGGCCCCTTTTTGGTACCACTGATGGTTGGGCCAATTGGGCTGATGTGGCAGGGTTCACTATTGGGGCGCGTAACCTTTGACACCCCTGCGAGCTGCATGAAAAAAACACTTGTGGAGGATGATGTTGACCTTTACACAAGTACAGACAGTACAGTTTCATTCCACACATTGTGCATGACGTGGCCCAGCTCACAGAGGACCGCTCCGTCACCAAGCGGAGACCTAGATGCAGTGGGGAAGGGGGCAGACAGATGGTGGCGCTTTCTGAAGCCCCGACCTTTGAATAGCAAGAGTAGCCAGCGCTGGCCCCTTTCTATCGTCAAGCGATGGAGGATGCGAATGCACGGTAGGTCACGCTGTTGGTTTGGGCTAGACGCATGTTTGAGACATTTTGTGACTTTCATTTAGCCAAAGGGGCTTCAAGTGTTTGAATTTATCATTTAAAGTGTGCGATGCCTCGCATTGTATGGTGTGCGATTGCTTCCTGTTGACCATTATGCCCTTCACGCAGCTCCCACAGTCCAATAAGCTACTGAAAGGGGTCCACAAAACATGTTGCCCCCTGTACACAGTGGAGTGTCCCAGGTCCCTTCTTTTTCGAAGCACCGCACAAGGATCCTCAGTGCCGGGTCCTCCCGCAGGCAGTGCGGGCGCCGAGTCTTGCGCTGCGTGGCTTACGCAGCTTTAGCATGTGACATGGCCGCCTGTGAAACACTATGGCATTCCGGAGAACAACTACGTTTGTTTGGGTCCGTGCCAGCTTTGGGAGTAAACCAAACATGGGCCTGAAAGTCGCACTTGGGTCTGCTTTAATGTTCCCCCCTTTCCAAGACAGCGGAACCAGTCCCCCCTCTTTAGTTCGACTTCGACTTGCCAATACTAAATTTAGTATTGCCAATACTAAATTTAGTATTGCCAATTCCAAACTTAGCATTGCCAAGATTTGCTCTCCGATTCCCAGTACCTGATCCAGTATTGCCAAATCAAGTTTAGTATTGCCAAGACTTACTCTCAGATTCCCAATACTTGATTTGGTATGGCCAATTCCATATTGGCATTGCCAAGACTTACTCTCAGATTCCCAGTACTTAATTTAGTATTGCAAATTCTAAGTTAGTGTCGCCCAGCCTTGCTCTCAGATTCCGATCCCCAAAGCAGTCTCACATTAAAGCGACCCCCAAAACAGTGACATTAGAGCGGATCGGGCCCTCTTGTGGGCACCGCCCTCTGTGTGACTCTTTGCCCTTACTTGTTGTAAAGAGGTTATCTTAAATTTGATGGTTTGGGGACCGCTTCAAAAAATATGTCCTAATGCTTGCCCAGACTTGTTGGCCTTTTTTTGGCCCGACTTTTCTTTGGCCCATCTTGTTTGGCCCGTTTTGTTTTTGGCAAAACAACGTTCTGTTAAAGCCACGCCCGAAACAGGCACGGGGTTCTGAATTAGGAAAGTAACTTTCTATTAAAGCGTACCCAATTAAACAAGCCAACATTACCCGATATGACCACTTTGACACATTCGTATTCCGCACAAGCCTCGGCTTGACGACTTCCCCTATAATGACTTCATGCAGGATGGCCCTCCAGTAAATGCCGCTTCCAACGCACGGCCGCTTTGCAGCTCTGAATGCAACACACGCAGCATCAAGGATCATGTGCCAGGCCATGGCTTGTGGTACTCGCTTTGAGGCCACGCAAGGGAGATGCATGACTCTCAGCCGGTGTTTTGCTAGTGGAGCCGTGGAGCCTTTGGCAAGCAACTTGGGTTTCAACCGCGGCCTGTGAAGCTGACCTTGGGAACTTTTTGCTTGTGTTTCATACATGCCTGAGATGGTGACTTTCGCCTACAGCAGAAGAGAAGATGGAACATGCAGGACGTTCTGCAGAGGAAGTTGATGTTCTCGTGTTTGAGAGCAAGGTTCAATTCGGAATCTAGTGGCAATCGCTTCTGGATATGGTTCGTGGCAGCCATCAACAAATTCAGTAGTTGCCTTTATTTTCAGACAAGGAACACATATTCTGAAAGGATCAAACCATATATGGAACTGTTTAGTACAATCACAACACCTCAAGAGAGGCACTTCCGTAGACTTGGACTTGCTAGACGACGCAAGAAGAACCGTCGACTGTCAAGCAGTTTGGGAAGCTGCCTCGATTGCTGCGAGGAGCCAGGAGAAGAGGACGCTCACCTTGGGCGAGGAGTGGAAGTTGGACACGGTCGGAAACAAGCAACGGGCCGCATTAGTTGTAAGTCTATGGCACACTTGTGGAGCACACAGGCATCTCACCCCAAAGAGTTGTGAAAAGGGTGGGCTCCCAAATATGAGGCAATGCTAGGAGGGAGCGTTTTGCATGGCCGTGTTGCTATCGGGACTAGAGCTGCCCAGCTTAGCCCCCTTTGTCGCCGGATGGCGCTTGCCACACGGCGCGCATGCCATCGGAAGGATGTGCTGCCCTTTAAGGGCCTCTACAACGTTCTGATGTCCATGAAGGCCAGCGAAGTGGGGCCCAGCGAAGTGGGCAGCACCTGGGGCACCTGGGGCACCTGGGGCCATCCCGGTGAAAGATCATCCCAGTGATCTTGGGATCTTGGGGTGGTTCTGGTATGTGTTGGTGGAAGACTTGATGCGGGTCCAAAGAGCCAGAGGAAGTTGGTCGGACATGCTTGGCAGTTGGTGGCCCATGTTGTTTGTCAGAGCAGCACGTGGGCAGGACCACGTTCAATGCTTAACAAAAAGTCTTTGAGTCTTTCATCCGACCACATTCAAGTTCATGTTGTGACAAGGCGAGGCCGCAGTTCATTCAGGTTGAGCAGCTTCCCGCTATCAAAAAAAGCTGCTTGGTTCAAAGGCATAGTTGTCACATCTTGTCATATTTCTGAATCAGCCCTGAGACTTCCAAGCCTGGCCTCCCAGACTGAAAGGGAATGAGGCCTGCATGCAAAGCTTATGCATCTCGCCTTACGCTTCATGGTGGCTCCTTGCATCCCAGTCGTCACGTTTCTCCTCAGCTGATGCCAAGCTTGCCAGGAGGGCGAGCGGTCCCTTGTGCCAGCCCGCCAAGCTTACAGGGAGCGAGAGGGGCAGAGGTCTTCTCGGATGTAACATCTACAGACAAAGGCAGTTCGGAATAGACGCGGGCAGGCACTGAATCAATATCAAATATATGTCAATGGCCAAATGCCCACCGACTTGCCACAGGTCGTTCTCAACAGATCTCATTGCATGTTCCAGGCACTTGAGGTCGACAGCTGCAGGGGAGCCTGGCCAGGAGGTGCGGGACTCAAGACGCATTGTAACGTGGACAGCCCGATGGCTCAGCCTCTGTTTCTTTGACTTCCCACCAGCTGCTCGAGTCCTGGCTTTGTCAAAGGAGGGCATGAAGATGTAACACGCTTCCGCTCTTGAGTCAACGCCAAGATTCCGAGGGACGTGACTGGATGGGTCGCTTTTGGTTGCTCGTGGAAGACTGACCGATGTCTGCTCTTGACCTCGCGTTTGATAGTGAATGGCATCTCTGTCTCTACTGTATTTGCTCCCCAGGGCTTCTTGAGTTCACTTTCATTTGGATCTGCAAGAGCTTGAGCTCGTATCAGGTCGTTTTCGCAGGACATCTATGGGAAAGGCTTTTTTGCGAAGAGGCGACGTCGCATGTTCAGGTCCTCAAAGCGGCCAAAAGCGTAGCCCGCTTCGCCTGCACTGGCTTCTCACTTTCTTCCCGCACTTCAAGATTGGACCCACACCAGGGATCCTGGTTTGGTAAGCTTACTTGGGGGGCAAACGGCGCACAAAGGCGCTACGGCACCATGGCGCAGCACAACGGCGCAACAGCAGAGCAACAGCGCAGCGGGGCAAAGGGGCAAAGGCAGCAGCGCCACAGCGAGCAGAGCAGCGGCGCAACAGCGCAAAGCAGTTTAGCGACACAGATTGAGAACACCCTGAAGGCTTTCGTAGCTCTTCACTCCAATTATCTCCAAGTGGCCGCTTCGGCGGATTTCCCCTTTTGCGCCTCTCTCCGATGATATTTTCCTGCATGGAAGGCAGCTGGCCGTGTTTTCACATGGACTGGTGTATTGTCCGGCCAAAAACAAATGGGCTTGTGGTTTTGAAGGGCATCCTTCTCATGGTAATACCGGGAGCCAACAGGAAAACCACATTTTTGGGAGTCCCGCTACTTTGACACATGCCCGAACGGATCAGGCCGTGTTAGCTCTCAGCTCCTGTTGCTCTTGCATACCATCTTTGCGCGGCAGTGTCCAACCTTGGGCCGCAGGTGGAGCCACAACCGCGGGCCCGGCCCTTTTGCGAGCCGTGGACTCTATGTGCGGAATTCGGCAGTGGTAAGACCTTGTAATGTATGATGACATAGCCTGGTGTCGCTTGGAACGTGCTGTGCGGAATGATGTGGAATATGCGCATCATCGAAAGACATATTATGAGCCGGAGGATCAGAATCCTGAATCTATCTGGAGAAATGGCTTAGGCATCACTGACATTACGCGCACTATGAAGGGTGTGCATGCGATTGAATCACGGATCTTGGCCTTGTATTGAAAGCTACGGCTGGGACTGACCTGATTTTGTTTCCCTTCATGCCAGGGTCGACTTGGCAGGCATCTCAGAGTCCCAGCATAGAAGCGGCGGCATTCACTGGACTGCACTTCCAGTTTGCTTCATTTTTTCCCGCAGCTGTGAAGTGAAGGTGCATCCCGAATGGCCACACACTTTGAGCTTGGTCTCAGGAAGTCACATTGCTTCGCTGGCGCAGACGGGACCACCTCCCCGTTGGAGAGGCACTTGGCCTTGACAGTAGCGCGATGTGCACCGGCAGGGCCAGTAAGAGCAGTGCTAGCATGTTTCCGATACGAACAGTTGGATGCGAGCGGCGCTGTCAGGGGTGTGAATGCGACTCATGAGTTTTGCTTGTCGCCTAAGAGACGCTTGTTTCTGAAGCCAAGTTGGTTCGAGATTAGCCATGTGGAGAGATTTCTTCTGTGACAACGAATGGCTTGTCTGGTCATGGGCCGGAATCATTGTCATCTCAGCTGGATCTTGGTATCAAGTTCACTTGGACGTGCGGGTGAACGCCTGGTTTGGTGATTTCTACGACTTACTGCAGAAAGCCTTGTCCAAGGACAAGGACACACATGTCACAAGACAGGAGCTCTATGGCTACATCTTCACCTTCTCGGAAATCGCAGCGATCTATATTCTGGTGGAAGGGGTTCACAAACAGACATTCCCCTCAGTCGATATCAATGGTGCACGTCTTCAACCTCTGCGAAGTAGATAAATCATGGATGTTCAGTTGTCATGAGATATCGAATGTGTTCAGCATTCTTGAACAGCTATGAGCCTTTGGTCTGGCCGGCGGCCTTTGACAATTTTGTATGGAACGACAAGTCCAAACCATCAGGGACTAGAATGCATGTTCCTCTTCAGAAGCATGGCTTGGAAATCGCCGAGCTCAAGACCTAGTTTCAAAGCCTGAGAGTTTCTGGGAAGCAATGGACTTCCGCGCTTAGAGCAGTCGACGCTTCCTCTCCTTAAATGGATGTCTTAAAGTCTTATTTTAGGATGTTTTCCTTTTTTTTTTGGCTTCTTGGCTTCTTGGCTTCTTGGCTTTTCGGCTTCTTGGCTTTTTGGCTTCTCGGCTTCTGGGATTTTCGGCTTTTGTTGGTTTATGCGGCTTTTGGTGGCTTTTTGGCTTTGGCTTTTCGCATCCTCTGCTTTCACAGTTCCTCTCTGGGCTTTTTGGCTTTTGCACCCTTTCATTGGTTTTTGGATTTGGCTTCCCGCATCAGCAGCATCACCAGTTCCTCCCTATTTGAATCATCACTTCTTCGAACATCATGGGGAGGAAAGCCCGCCCCCCCCAACCCACCCGCTACTGTTTAGATTGTTTGCAGAGTAATTACACCCCTATTTGAATCAACACTTCTTCAAACATCATGGGGGGGGCTGCCGCCCCCCCCAACCCCCCCGGGGTGCAATTCAATCTCTGCAAAAAGTCTAAAAAGTAGCGGGGGGTTTGGGGGGGGGGGGGGGCGGCAGCCCCCCCCATGATGTTCGAAGAATTGATGATTCAACTAGGGGTGCAATTCAATCTCTGTAGAAAATCTAAAACGTAGCGGGGGGGTTGGGGGGGGCGGCAGCCCCCCTCATGATGTCGGAAAAAGTGATGATTTAAGTAGGGGTGCAATGATTCAAGAAAGGGTGCGATGGAATTTGAAAGGCAGCGGGAGGGTTGGCGGGGGTGGCTTCCCCTATGATGTTCGAAGAAGTGCATACATACAGACATACATGGATTGAACAGATTACCTAGAATGTCGTATTTTGCAGCATTTTCTTGCGAAATTGGACGCTCGAAAAAAGTGATGATTCAAATAGGGGTGCAATTCAATGTCTGGCGAACATCCCAAATAAATCCGCACCCTAATGTCGCGCCCCCTCCACCTGGCTGGTTTGTGCTTGGAACTTTAGCCCGTTTCCTTAAGACATCATCCAACAAGGGAGACATACCCCCAGTCCCCCCCTTCCAGGTCCCACATGCTCAAGCGAGTGTGCCGCATTGCTTGACAGGTGGCGGTGTTTCTGTCGTTTTTCACGAAGCATTGGACGTTCCGCTGGCGAAATGCCATGAACGACTACTACCTGAAGCACTGGACTCGACTGCGGCACATTGAGGGCGCCAGTCAGAGGGTGCAAGAGGACACTCGCCGCTTCTCGGCGAGTGGCATGCTGGCGGGCATATTTTGTACGGTGCATATAAAGCTTGCAGATCTCCTTGCAGATTTGGATACCAAGACTCAATCAGGTTGGTTGTTCTGCCCGGCGCCTGTTAGAGGTCAAAGGCGCTATAGAACAGCCAGTGGAAGTCGCGTAGCCGAGGCTTTGCCATTATGGTGGAGGACATTGGTGCTACCTTTCTGCAGTCCGTGCTGACCCTTGTGGCGTTTCTGCCGATCCTTCTGCAGCTGTCGGAGCAGGCCACTGGACTCCGCAAATCCCAAGGTTCCTAGTGCAACCTTTGTTTCAGAATTGAGATGGCCACTAAATTATCATAGGGAACCACCTCAAAAGTGATGGGTGGGCATGAATCCCCACCTAAATGATGGTCTCCGTGGAACATTTTAGGTTCAGGTTTTGACTGCAGGTGAAGGAGCTGCCTTTCTTTGGGGAGGTGCCGCACGCTCTGGTGATCCTCACACTCCTCTGGGCGCTCTTTGGCACGGTGGGCCTGGCCCTCGTGGGCATGCGCCTGCCGGGATTGGAGCGCCTCTGCCGGATGGGTTCGGGCGAACGAAGCGCGACTTGGGTTGACACGCCGTGACGACTCGCTGGGACTCTCTAAGCCACTTTCAAACAACGTGTCCAGCTGGGCAACGGCAATCAAATCGTGCTCCAGACCTAGAACCTCATTCAGGTTCATTTACTTCTTGTTCACCCCTTATTTGGGGTTTACCCACTTTGAAAGCATGGTCTGTCTAGGGGTCAGGCAGTGAATGCTGCAAAGCAAGTCTTGAGCGTGGCTCATGTTGTGTTAACAGGCAGATAACCGTTCACCCCGAAACCGTGACTGGAAAGCTGACGTTTGCTTTAGAAAGGGTTCAGATTGATTCAGTCTTCGGTTGGAGGTGTTGGCTTCTGAATTCGCGTTTAGCAGAATGGCCAAACTTGGAGCACGAGCTGTAGCCCTAACAAGTCAGCCCTCCAGATTTGAGACGCATCCAACTTGAAGATTTGAGTTTCATAGATCACTCCAAATTCAATGAAATTCCTTGAATTGGTGACGCCTCCAATAGAGTTTCATAATGTGATCAAGCCTCTCTGCACTGGGCCGAAATCGCAGACGAGGTTCCAGAATCAGCTTGTGGAAGCAGCTTTCCGCAAGGAGCTTGTCTATGGGGAGGATCAAGCAGAGCGTGCAGGGCCGGATGTGGTGAAAGAGCTCTTCCAAGCGGTCCGTGATAGCTATTTCCGGCTCTACCTCAACTTCATGTACTTTGATGTAGCTAAGTATTCCTACTTGCAGTTTGGCGTCGTGGTTCCCTACATTGCACTGGTTCCCTGTATTTCCAAAGGCGGCATCACTCTGGGATCTATGCAAAGGCTCGTCAGTGCTTTCAACAGCGTTGAGCGATCCTTCCAGTTTTTGGTGCGCAACTGGACAGAGCCCCTTGCCTTGAAGACAGAGGCATTCGTCCATCTACATGTCGCCCGAAATTCGTGCTCAACGGTTCTGGCCAGTCTGCGACAGTCCCATTTACCCCGAGTTGAGGATTCCTTTCAACCATTTAGATACGGACAGCCGTTGTAAGGCTCCTCGTCGGAAATAATACCATGTCCCAAGATATGACCATGGCATGTTTCAAGCCAGCACTTAGCCACAGCGAAGCGTTTATGAGGGGCAGATCCGAGGATTGTGGAGCTCGCTTCCGTCACCCGGCAAATGGTGCGGGCGTTGCAGGGGCTTTGGCAACCCCGGATAATTCCCGGCGTTCAGAGATTCTGAGTGGGGTAGTGGGATCAGAAGCCGCTGTGCTGTTCACAAACGGTAGCTGGTTTTCCAATTTTCACTCGTTTTTATTGCTGAGTTGCGGCATTTGTTGGGCCAGCAGGTTCAGTTCCTTTCCAGCCAGAGTCGTATCACTTGTCATGCATTGGCACTAACGGTTGGATCATCGACAACTCGCGCGCCACTCATGAGCTCAGGTGTACAAACGGCTTCGCCAATTCGGCTCGCACATTCAGGCGGGCAACGACAAGATATTGTTCGACGTCCAAGATTAGATGGTTCCAGACAAAAATGAGTTAGATCAATATACCGCAGGCAAATGCCGCTGATAGGTAGGGAATTGACCAGTCATCAGCAAGAGCAACATGCCATGACAGCAGCGGTTGTATTGAAACGTAGGGGCTTGTTGGGTTGTCTCTTCGCTTGTGCAGGCTCTTGTAGGGAGCATTGGCAGGAGCAGGGTTCAAAGTTTGCGTAGCCTCTCTCACAATGGGCTTGGATATGTTTTGATCTTCATCAGATTGCGCAGTCCCTCCTGATCCCTCCTGCATTTGAGCGGGCTTTGAAGGCGCGTGACCAATACCTAGGGGTTATCCAAAACTTGGACCCGCTATTTGTTCGAATCAAGCATGGCAACAGCCCAGCGGCCAGCAACTGCTGCCTTGGAATCTGCTGTCAAATCTTTACGTACTGTGAGCTTTCATGCTCACACAGGCAAGGCAAACAAAGCCGCATACAATGCATTTGCCATCATTTGTCCGCGAAGACATGCGCGTAGGCACCTACAAAGTCACATGAGCTCGCGTAGCCCACCCTTTCGGCTCGGTTGCCCAGGATTCTTCCCTTCGAAGAAGAGCTTTTCCTTGGTCAAACAGGCAAGCATGTTGAGGTACGAAGACCCCAGCTTCACAAGCAATCTTGCGGAGGTTCCTACTTAGGTGTGCAAGTAGTGGCGGTAAAGCACCCCAGCAAAAGAACTCGGCTCATGTGGCTGTGGGTCAAAACCAATGGTACCATTTTCGGGTAGGTGCACCACCCATTTTAGTCTATGTTTGTGGGGATTGGGTGGGATGTTCACTGGGGGTACGGGATGTTTGACCCATGTTGTGATTGGTGCCAGGATGGCGACCCATTATCAGGAAGACTCTGCAGCCAGGACCCGGCCGTATCAGAGCGGTCATCAAGACTGAGTTCCTGGATGCGTGCCAATGGGCAACCATCAATCCCCTTCGATTATCAACATGTTCCATGGCAACATGGGAGGTCTCACAGGAAGCCAGCATGGAAAAGCAGGAAGTTTTCCATATCACTTTGGCAGGTGGTGGGCCGATGTGAAAGCAGTGGGCACAGCTCGCATGTACCAAGGTTCAGGTGCCATATATTTGGGATGTGACTTGACAGATTTCTTGTGTCAGGGACAACTCACAAGTCACACACAGCTAAGCCATGTGAGCGCTTTATGCCTTGGCGTAGGAGACTGACAGCGAGTCGGGCTCGTCCAGGTGGCTTGGTTGCGTTTGTGTCTTAGATTTTTAATAGACCCACAGCAACGAGATGTCCTGGTTGGCAAATAGCCATGAGCTAACCGGTGAGAAGCACGAGCACAAGGGTTGCTGAGCTCAGATTGATGGTGGCAAAATACATCAAATCAGGTAGCTTCCAACAACAGGGCTTGTTCAACATTTCATTTGCTCAGCAATCCTGAAACATGAACGTGCACGGGTCAGACTGAATCCCCAATGAACTTCCGTGGAGAGTGGACTCATTCGAGGCAAGATTATGTGGAGTTGGACAACCTGTCCGCGGGTTCCGAATGTCCGTCATCAAAGAGTGAAGCTTTGCGAAGCAAATCGAAGGCCTCCCTTGTGTGCATTTGAGCAGCAAGGGTGATCCGGATGGTTCACCTAAACCTGGTGGTGCTTTTGCACGCTTCTGCCTGCTCGGCGTTTTTCGTGGGCTCACTGCTCTCCGAATTGGGAGAGCGACTGTCACCAAGGTGGGGTTAACTGGTGCGAATTTCATAAACAATCAGACGAACGCATGCGTGGACACATTTTACTGTTTCTTTTTGTGCCCTGCTTGGAATTACTGGAGGCTTATGGCTTGCCAGATGCCCCAATTTAGTTCCCTGTTTCGTGATTGAAACAATCACACAGCTCTTCCAGTGTGAAGTGCGTACACGCTGGGGCTGCTTGCTGAAACTCCGGCACGCTAGCAATAGTATACAAGAATTTAAGAAGCATGTGCCTGTCTTGTGCATCATCCAGGATTCAAAGTGGTCCAAGATGCAGAGGGCAAAAAGCTTCCTGGCGCGGGTTGCAGATCACTTCTGAATCTGTCGCTGTGATGACCTGCAGGCTGGCGATGCAGGCCGGGGGCCAACGACAGCTGTTTGATCTTGAATTAAGAAGGATGATTGAGAGAGTCTCTGGTCAACTTTGGGGGAGCAGTCAGTGCTTTTTAAGTTTTCTGTCAGCTAGCATCATTCTGTTTGCGCAATTTATGAGCCTTGTGCAGCCTTTGTGAGTGCTCCCCTCAAGCTTGCCAGCAGGTGTTCATCTGAGAACCACCGGAAAACCACCCAAAGTCAGAATTGCCCCTCCCCATTGCGAGGCTCCTCCTGCCTGCTGCGGGGGCACTCAGAGATTGGTGCGAATAGGTTTTGCCCAACAGCTGAAAGCTAAGGAGTTTGAGCCCAAATAAGGTTTGGGGGTGGCTCGGGGGAGCTCTGGAGTCAGGTTCGAGCAAGGTTTTTGTTCGGGTGGTCTGGTGCAGGGCAGGTGTAAGGTTCAAGCGCAGGTTCCGGGCAGGTGAAAGGTTGCAACTTGGCGGGCAAACTCTGAGACCTGCCAGGAAAACTGAGATTCGTCAAGGCCCCGAGCGACGTAGCCATGACATTGAGGCGGCCCAGTGAGTTTTGGATTTGTTGGGAGGCTGTGCGCACAAACGAATGAGTGTCAGTCAACAGACCATTCTTGACCACTATCTACTGCTCAGCATGTACTTGAGCCCAAGGACTGATGGCAACGGTCATTCCCTGAAATCCCCCTGTGGGTTTGGTTTACCTTCCCTCGCTGCCTCGACCAACATGTCAACAAAGTCACCGTAGGCCCAGTCTCGCAGGCTGGCAGCATGGTCCTGGCAGCAGTTGCAGGCAGAGAAGGCCGCCATGGATCGTTTGCCCTAAGCGTCTTGTGTCCCAATGCCAAGGTCGGGAAGTGCGTATTCAAGTCGTTGTTCAACGCAATTCATGATCTGCAGCTCTTGACTGCGACTTATTAACGTGATTGACTTCTGATTTGGAACTGTGATTCGGGTCTCATGATTTGCGATTCCGAATTCTTGAGTGCCACTTGTGACTCGCAATTTGTTTCTGATTCGCAACTCACATTGATTTGTGGCTTTTGGCTCACGACTGGTCATTCAGTTCTGCTTTTGTGATGCCTGGCTCTCCACTCGTGTTTCATTTCTGGTGAGCCGTGTTTTGCGGTTCCTGGCTCGTCATGAGTGACGTGGCTGTGGTTGATTTGTGAAGAAGACTCCAGGCACTTGACTCGAAGTCAAAGTCTTAAACACAGATGTTTGCATTCCTGGTGGCAATTTCCGCGGCAACTTCCCAACCTTTGACATCCGGAAGTCTGCATTCGCTCTCAGGCCCAAGCCTCATCTCCTGGCGCGTGGGAGAAGGGGCAGTGCCGGGGTATTTGGACGTGGCTGTGGCAGAGGCCCCAGCCTTTGGCATTGCGACCAGTCACTTCGAAAGGTCATACTTGGTCTTGGTATCCCACTTGGAGCTGGTGAATGCCATCGAAATCAAGACGATCCCATTCTGGAAGTGGACTCTCATCCACCGTTCTTGGCGGCAACAGCTGAGACCGCGTTTCTTTTTTTGCTTTGCCCAGGGCTCCCCATGTTCTATTTGTTCCTCCTACGAACCCCGAACTGGGTCGGATAGGACGAGTCGACGGGTGAGGCCAGCATGCGGCTCTGCGAGAGCGCGGCCTTCGAAGCCCCAGAGGACGTGCAGCTGCGGCGGCCCACCGGCAGGGGATCCCATCTCATCGCAAACAGGCGGCAAGTCGTTTTTTTTTTTTTTTTTTTTCCCCAACAGCTGAAAGCTTTGGGGTCTCAGCCCAGATAGGCTCCGGGGTGGTTCGGGGCGACCCTGAGCTAAGGTTCCACCAGGGTTCCACCAGGGGTTCCACCAGGGTTCCACCAGGGTTCCACCAGGGTTCCACCAGGGTTTTACCAGGGTTCCACCAGGGTTTCACCAGGGTTGCACCAGGGTTCCACCAGGGTTCCACCAGGGTTCCACCAGGGTTCCACCAGGTTCTGCAAGGGCGGGGTGGTCTGGGGTGGTTTGAGGTAAGGTTCCACGAGGGTTCCACCAGGGTTCCACCAATTTCTTCGAGGGCTGCGGGTTTGAGGAAGGTTTCACGAGGGTTCCGCCAGGGTTCCACCAGGGTTCCAGGCTGCATGGGTGGTTTGAGGTAAGGTTCCACGAGGGTTCCACCAGGGTTCCAGCAATTTCTTCGAGGGCTGGGGTGGTCTGGTTTGAGGAAGGTTCCACGAGGGTTCCACCAGATTTCCACCAGAATTCTGCCAGGGTTTCACCAGGTTCTGCGAGGGCTGCAGGGTGGTCCGAGGTGGTTTGAGGTAAGGTTCCACGAGGGTTCCGCCAGGTTTCCACCAGGGTTCCACCAGCCCGTCGTGCTCCGGACGAGGGTTCCACCAGCGTTCCACCAAGTTCTTCGAGGGTGCGGCGTGGTCCGGGGAAGGTTCCACGAGGGTTCCACCAGGGT